TTAAATCTGCTTAGAATATAGATGTTCCCCCTAGGGGGCAATAGTGACCTATCTCAGGACCTTTCCTGGGTGCAGGGTAAGGGTGAGTGCCTTTGGGAATGGCTTAAGCCATGATTCTTGACAACAGAATAATTCAGCCCCTTTTGTCTAGGCTCTGGTCAGGCTGCCAAGTTTCCCACAAGGACTCCTTAGGGATCTCCAACAAGATTCCTGAGTGGGAAGTGGATTCAATTCCAGTGTCCCTCTCTCCATCACACCAAATAACTGCTCCAGCCTAATGTCCTGAGTCAGAATATGCCAAAAGGGACAGTTACCAACCATGCTTCCTCTTCTTTTCCCTATGAATTCTACATTCTTGTGTTTCTTTTTTTAAATTAAGTTTATTAAGATTACATTGGTCAATATTAATACATAGGTTTTAGGTGTGGGTTTCTTTGTTACAAGATCTGCATTCATACCGTGTGCCCACCATTCAAAGTCAAATATTCTCCTGTCACCATATATTAGGACTCCCTTCTCTCTGGCAACCATCACACTGCTGTTTGTGTTCATGAGTTTAAGTTTTATATTCCACATATGAGTGAAATAATATGGTTCTTAGCTTTCTCAGTTTGACTTATTTCACCTTGCATAATGTTCTCGAGGTCCATCCATGTTGCTGCAAATGGAAGTATTTCATCTTAAGGACCCTAGTTGTTTCCATATGAACAGCCAATAGATATATGAAAAGATGTTCAACCTCACTGGCAATTAAGGAAATGCAAATCAAAACTACTATGAGATACCACCTCACACCTGCTAGAGTGGCCATTATCAACCAGATAAGCAATAACAAATATTGGAGATATTGTGACTAAAAGGAAACCCTTAGCCACTGCTGGTGGGAATTAGACTGGTGCAGCCACTATGGAAAGCAATCTGGTGATGCCTCAAAAAATTGAGACTAAAGCTACCATACGACCCAGCAATCCCTCTCCTGGGTATATACCCAAAAACCTCAAAATCATGTATTCACAAAGATATATGCACCCTATGTTCATTGCAGCATTATCATGGTGGCCAAGACATACATCCTTGTGTTACAACTCACCTTCCCCATACCTCCCAGTCATTGGAAAGTTGAACTTATTGAGATCCTCCTCTATGTCTCCTCTTCCTTCACCTTTTGACTGATACTAAAGGTCCATACTTGGCCCTTGTTTACATCCCCTGGAGAATTCTGACCTGATTTATCCTTCTTTTCTAGAGCATGTCTATGAAGTGGCCAGGTAAGATAGCCTCTCCTCTTCTATCTTATAACTTTCCTTTCCCTCAATTATGTGGGTCAGTGGTATAATAGAAAGGGGGTTTGTCACAGACACAATCCTAAGCCCAAAAGTCTTCAGGGTCAGGGTACAGAGTTTTCCCTTTCTGAAGCACCTCCTGATGCTCTGTTGTGACCCACCAAACACACAGGATAATTCAGGTCCACCAGCACCTGTTCCCAGAATCTCTGGATGACAAGGATTAGGGAAGAAGGGTTGGAAACCAGGGTCCCAGCCTTAAATCCTTTCTTATGGGTGGTGGGCTCTTGGACCACAGGGTGCATGCCAGGGAGACCAGCAACTCTGGTGAAACCATGAGGTTGGCCATCTGCGAAAGTGGCTGCTCCAGTGAAGAGCCAGCTACCCGGACTCTAGGCAATGACTACTCTGATGAGCCCTGCCTGGACCAGGAATACCAGATCATCGCCCAGATAAATGATGACTACACTCAGCTGCTGTACACAGTTCCCGGGATTATGAGCTCCTGACCATCGAGGGCAAGAGTGTCTGCTAAAACTGCCCTACTAGCTTGCTGACATGATTATCTTTTAGCCCCTGCCTTCTGCATGGTCCCCTTATCTTCCTGGATAGTACAACATGTCTTACCTGCCAACATTCAGATTCCTAAGTATGACTGGCTTTGCCTAAGCCCTAAGAAGTTGCCATGTGCACACATGCAATCCTGTTCCTGGGTTGGGCTTTGAGCCCTTCCAGTATCTCTGCCTGGGCCTTTTGCTACTTCTCTCCAAACACCAGAGGGAAGTTCCCATAGCACTAAGACACCAATTAACTTTGGCCTCTTGTCACTGTAAGACCAGAGGGAGGCTCAGCTCTGCCAGCTCAGGGATCAGTTATGTCCATAATCACTTATTTTTTTCCAAGGCCAGAATGTTTTTAATTGAGATTGTCATATAACAGGCCAGGGTTCAGTTCTGCTTTTATGCTGTGAATTTATTACTCTGATATTCTTTTGGTGATTAATAAATATCCAATCATAATAGCAACCTTAGTTGTATTGGTCTTCTCTCAAGGACCTACTGAGAGTGATTGAAGTGAGTCCAGTTGAGAAGGTGAGGGCTCTGGGAGCATAAATAGCACCTTTGGTTTTTGTTTTCCTCCTTCCTACCCATGCCACCCTTACCTCACTTCAGAGGTAGGTCCAGCTAGAATACAATGATTCTTTGGTAAAATAGTACTCATCTGCCTTCCATTATCCCTTTACCAATTGTCCTGCCAGCTCCACCTGGATGACTCTTCCTAGGTCAATTAAAAACCTGGGTGAAAAAATGAGTCCCCCTTTTTATGGCATACAGCAGACTTTTTTTTTTTAATGGTACATGGAAAGTGTAGATACATTGAGGGAGGTATATGTTGGTCCCATTTGAGTAACCTAGTTAATTGAAAGAGAATATTAGATACTCCTGCTTTTTAATCACTCAGCCAGTTTACTATTGGTAAATCCCATTGGCCACCATTCTCCACAGTCTCCAAGCTTTTCACCATGTTGCATAGTCTTGCCCGTCTTCTCAGGCTAGCCCCTCTCCATCTCTTCATTTCTCATTTGGAGAGCAGTCTAGCCCTCACTTTTGGTTTTGTGCTGCCTCCTCACAGACAGTGTTCTCAAAGCACTTCTTAATTCACCCTTCCCTTACTCCTTGATCTAACAAGTAACATGTTCTGCCAAGATGTTTCAAAAGAAGCCTTATTCTGTGGACGTAGAGATAAAGGGTTGTCCTTCTTTCCAAAGTATAGATGCACCACCCTCAAGATTTCCTACCTCCTGTAATCCTAAATATTTTGGAATAGTTGTGTTCTTCATCCCTAGCTCCTGGTCCCTTCTTACAATGTGGAGTGGGTCTCAGAGCAAAGAAGTATTTCTCCTCAAATAGGAGTGGAGAATAAGAATGTGTGTGTGTGTGTGCGCGCGCACACGCGCGCGCACGCTTGTGCACACATGAATACCTTTAAATCAGTCTCTTCTGAACAGCATGGGGGGATCTGGAGAGTATTATGCTAAGCAAAATAAGCCAATCAGAGAAGACAATATCACACGTTCTCACTTATATGTGGAATTTAATGAACAAAATAAATTGAAGAACAAAATAGATTCAGAGACATGGAAGCATGCATTAGTCTGAGGATCCTCAGAGGAAAAGGGGGGTGGAGATCAACGAAAGAAGTTATATGCATATATGCATAACCAATGGACACAGACAATAGTGGGGTGAAGGCCTGGGAGGGGCTGGAGTGGGGTGGAAGGGTCCAAAAGGGGGAAAAGAGGGGACATCTGTAAAACTTTCAACAATAAAGTTAAATTTTTTAAAAATTAGTTTCCTCTATGAGGACCTGTCTAGGACAAGTCAACACTGCTTTCCCTCCCTCATGTAATTCATGTTAAATCAACTTATGCATTCTTCATGGAACCTGACATGTTGCCACTTTTATTTCCAACACAACCTCAACATCAGCTCAGGTTTCAACAGGAGTTCTTCTCCTTTGGGAAGAATATAGAAGTCAAAATAGTACACAAAAGTGAACAAGAATTCCTCCACTTCACCACCACTAACCTGCCAAGTCCATGGTAAAAAACTCAGCGTTTTCCTCATCTCCAGATGCTCATGAAAGGAGCAACATTTTCTTCCCCATCATGCTTAAATCCTCTGAAATAGCCTCCCACAGTGGAAACCTCAGCTTCCTTAATTAAACATCTTTGTTTCCAAACCCCCCCACAGCCTTTGAAAACAGCCATCATTTATTCCTACTATTTTTGGAGAAAGGAATTACTGAGGTTGAGAAGAGAATCCTTGTTTCATGTGTCTTGATAAAAGGAACCCCAGATCCAGGCACTACCCCCTTCTTGGACCCCCAAGGATAACTCAGAGTCTCTTATCTTGGAGAGCTTAGAGATTGTTGATTCTAAATTTCCCATAATACAGATAAGGAAGTGAAGTCCAAAAAGAAAGAGTAACTTATCTGAAGTCAAACACATCAAATCAATGGTAGAACAGAGACCAGATTCATGTCTGTGAACTGCTAGGAGAATATATTCATTGCAGCAGAGAAACTTCTGGAGATCATCTGTGTTCCCAAACTGAACATTTCCCCCCCATACATGACAAGCCAGTAAAAGAGTCCTTGGTATAGGGCTACCCCAAAGCTGCAAGATAAGGCTAAACAAAAATTTAATGATAACATAGGATCTATCTTAGGTAGGTGGCTGGTCAGGGGAAAGCAGATGAGTATAAAAAGGAGACCTCCAGAAGAGAGGGAAAGTATGAATTTCCTCTAGGGCAGCTTCCCAAGTTTTGTTCCATGGAATAGTAGACCCAGGAGATGGTCCACAGGAAAAAAAATCACAATCAGATAGGTATGGGAAATGCTTCATTCTATAGCTCCCTCTTGGAAATTTCCAGTGCAATATTAGAATATTAAAGGCTCTATAATATCCTGAAATAAATTACCTGTATAACTTTGTGTTACCAAGTAATTCCCAAAAACATATTTGCCCTCTCAACCTACTTTTTAAAAATCTCTTTCTGTAGCCCATCACCCAATTTATCAGGAAGAAATCCCATTCATGTTGGCTATACCTTGCATGCCCTACAGCATTGTGGTGAGCACACTTGAATTTTTTTATTCACAACATGCCTAGGTGGCATGTGTCCCAAAGACCAAAACTTATGAACTAGTGGAAAGTCAATCAATCAGTAAAACTTTATTGAATATTTTCTGTAACCAGAGTCCTGTGGGGGTAGGAATGAAATGGAGAGACAGCAATCAAGGAAACATGGTCTTGTCATAAACAAAGTAGAGGATTCAAAATATATTCTGAAAAAGATAATTAACAATTTAAGCAGTGTTATTGGGCAGTAGGAGATAAAGGTGTACATAGAAGGACCCAGGCAAGAAGTGATTTGAGAATGAAGGAAAAAAGTATAGGTTTATTTTTCAAAAGTCCCTGCAGAAACTTGATTTTGCCTGTACAAGGAAATATGGGAAGGAATCAGGCAGAAATAAATGGGGACGGTGTTCTCAGAAGGAGAAAAAGCATGAGGAAAAGGAGAGAGATAGGTAAGGTCAAAGTGCGTTTAGAGCTAAGACTGAGTGTCAGAAAAATGGGCTTCTAAGCTCTGCCATGATGGTTGTGTGAGACGGCTGGTATACTCTGGAATGGGGAATGTGAAGAAAAAAAATAATGAATCAAGTAGCATTTTCATCCCTGGGCCCTGGATACCTTTACAAGGCTACCTTTCCCCCCTCAGGCTCTCACAATATATGTAGGCACCACCCAGGGCTGTGGCTCTTAAAGCTGTCTGACTTTTCCAGACCTGAGATACAATGCTTACATTCTCTCAGTTACCTTAAAATAACCTGTGAGAGCTTAGTTGGTATTTGTTGTGTGTTATTTTATCCTGCTGATCATCTATTTGTTGTACCCCAACTGGCCTGGCTTGGAGCTGCTAGGCACATGCCGCACTTGGGGTATTTGACAAACTGACACTCTACCACATGGAGTGTCCAACTCAGCTTGTCAAATACACGGAGCGTGGCACTGCAGGAGGCCGAGCCAGGTGCTTCAGTGGGGAGATGAGATCTTCATGGGAGATGTAGGCCTAGAGGGA